TATACTACATAACATCCATGCACACACAGAAACACACCCCTCTCTCCTCCTCCCCCTGCAACCTCCTTCTCTTTCTTGTTCTGTTTCTGCCAAGCAGAGAGAGGAGGAACAGGAGAAAAAGAAGACTATAGACTCAACATTTTGTCCCAGCCTTCTGCTGGCTGAACCTCCTCCTTTCCTACATTTGGTCTGAAGTTTGCTCCCAAAGAAATGCAACTTCAAGAGGGGCCAAACATCTACCTCTGCAGAATGGCTTCTCCAACAGATAAATTAGGTGGGTGCTTAGGGTGCCAAATGTTGAGGGGGACAAAATCAAATAAAAAAAAAATACTAATGAAGGTGGAGGAGCTGGTTACATGATTCCCCTCCAGCACCAGTTGCGGACAGCAAATCTAGAGCCATCATTGCTTCTGATACATAACAAATGTACCCAAACAATATTGAATAAACCAAACATATAAGAACAGTCTCTTTCATGGGATGTGTTGTCTAAGAATCAGGTTCCTTTAAAAAAAAATGAATATTTGATTTGCTATCACATCAATAGACTGGAGCTCATTTAACAAAATACACTTAACTGAGCTAGTTAAAGACCTAGTGGTTGCATTCACACAACATTTAATCTGGGGTAGTTGTTCATGAGTTAGTTGTGTGAATGCAGCCCACCTGGTTAGTTCAATGTATGGTGTGAACTGTAGAGTTCTGCACATTCTGAGAACATAGCCATTATCTTGTTCAGTACGTAGGTGAAGGAACCATTTCTTCCTTTGGAGGAAATGGGCCCTAAGTCAAGTGAGGCCCTGCAGGCCAGGACTGATGGGGGTTTTAATTTATTTAATTACAGTCAATGACCAGCAAAGTAAACAAAAATGAAAATCCAGAACCAGTGACCAAATAGAAGAAAAACAATGTAAAATAATATATAATCTAAGAAATTAAAGCTTAAAAATCAGAGAGGGAAAAATTAAATAAGTACAGTAAAACAATATAAAGTATAATAATAAAATAGAAATAGAGTACAATAGAATAATATAAAAGAAAAGGAAGATTTCATAATGTAATCACTCCAAGATTTCCAGAGAATAGCAAGGAGAGATAAGAAGGCCTTCTTAAATGAACAATGCAAAGAAATTGAGGAAAATAATAGAAAGGGGAAGACTAGAGCTCTACTCAAGAAAATTGGAGATATCAAGGGAGCGTTTAGTGCAAAGATGGACATGATAAAGAACAAAAAAGGCAGGGACCTAACAGAAGCAGAAGAGATTAA